TAGAATAAGATGAACCTAGTTTCAAAATTCCAAACGAATTGGAAAATAGTAAAAATTTCAGACCCAAAGCGCTCCATTGAGTAAATATTCCGTACCCAATGACAAACATATGAATTTTTGACACAATGAAACTTCTAAATAATTTTTTTGTATTGTGATTTAGTATAGTAAGGCAAAACGACTGCAAATTGAATATGTTTGAGCGCAATCACTTATGGCTCGCTCCTTTGCGCGAATTCGTACGGCGAATCTGTTCGCAAAGTGCGCAAACAAAATTATTGCAAGCAAAAGCAAACCACGCGCACGTCAGACGCATGCGCAGACTGCATCACTTGTCAAATGCATGTTAAATTATTTGCATCTTATATTAATTTAATTTTTGGCACATCTCAGCTGCTTTTCGGCATTAATAATGTAGACATTAAATTTTTCTTATTCATAATTATGAATTTATTATATTCTAATATCGCCTTAGCCTATAAGTGAATAGAAATGTTTGGCAAATAACAGTCCTCAATTGTTTTTAATGTCAAACTAAGTTTCAAATATTTTCAAGGGCAAACAATGATAAGCGGTTTTTTATAATTTTTTCTATTTATTTCTACAATCTAACTATATTTCTATGAATCAAAACATTCTAAAAAATTTCCCGAACAAACTTCAGGAAGATTCATGAAAATCCGAATTATAGTTTAGGAGGAAATATGAAACTTACATTGTTACAGAAGAATTTTATATATAAGATATATATTATATTAAATGTTAAATATGAACAAAGCAACACAGATTTTTTAACAACTTTATTTTATAATTACAAACGTTTCGAGACCATGGTGTGCCTCATCTTCGGTGTAATTTCAAAAAACGGTTACTTATTACTATACATTATTTAATATTTTATTTAAACTATATTCAACTTTTGAGTTAGACAAAAAAAAGTTCAAATAAAATATTAAATAATGTGTAGTAATAAGTAACTGTTTATTAAAATTACACTGAAGATGAGGCACACCATGGTCTCGAAACGTTTGTAATTATAAAATAAAGTTGTTAAAAAATTTGAGTGTTGCTTTGTTCATATTTAGCATTTAATATTCGTTCGACTCATATCACAAAATTCTATTATATATATATATATATATATATATATATATATATATATATTATAAGGACTACAGATTTATTTATGGTAATAATTAGATAGTTCGGTAGCTAAGAATGCGTATAATATCATAATAAGAATTCGAAGAGTTAATGAGATTTCGTATCATTCAATTCATGATGATAAATCATGATGCATCAATTATTAGAACATCTGCTTGCAATATTATTATTAAACAAATGCATTGAATGAGTCTACGTACGGATATATATATAGATATATATATATATATATATATATATATATATATATTAATATGTGTAAATAAGACATTGCATAACTGCTGGTCTTCGTGTAGAATACTCGAAGTCGGCGTGCAAGCGTACGCTGTGTAGAAAGTGAATCTTATTGAAAGCGAACCATGAAAAAAATACTCAAGAGTAACATCAAACTAAGAAATCGCCTCTACCTCCGTATTCCATCTTGGTAGATCCGACACAAAAACATTTACAAATTGCGAAAGACGGATATCAAAGCAATATTGCATATTTCGTAGAATAAAAATTAAATAAAATTTGTTGGAGATGTTAGTGATGCACCAACAGATAGCTAAATAATGAAATAAAACCACGCAGAAACATAATTCTTCACACTGTCTACATAAAAGACTAATATCGATTTTCGATGGTATTTTATAAATTTATTAAATTTATTAAATTATCTGTAGTTTATTAGATACCTACGAAATATAAAATTTGCAAACGTATCAAAAGAAAATATATAAAAGACATAGAAAATCCAGAAATTACTAAAATAAAAAAAGAAATAAAAAAAAACTTGGTTCTTCATATAAATGTTATTTAAAATCAGAAAAATGTGTGCGCATACACAATTATATGCAAAAATATATAACGTATAAAACCTTCTTAATATTCCATAACAATTTCACCAAAATTAGTGTACATTATTCTATAACATCATAAAAGCAAAATAAAAATCAAATATAAACTTTATAATATCAAATTATAATCCTTTACATTAATAGAGGGCGTCCCACCCTAGCGGGTACGGAAATTTACACTTCAACCCGAAACAACGTGTCGCTCCAGGTTGCTGTAAAATTTGCCGTGCCGGTTAGGCCTGGGACAGTCGTGTCACTGTAAATTGTTAAAAATAGACATGATAAATGATTTTCTATGATAAAACTTATATTTATCGAGTATAACAATGATGATTATTATCTTCATAAGTATCTAATACTTTTTTTCAACAATATTTTACACATTTGCAATGTTACACAAAAAATCTTATTGTGGTGTT